TTGGGTCCACCCCAGTGGTACATAACAGAACAATCTGGCCAAAACATGGACCCAACAGACTCAACCCTCCGCTCCGAGATGGATCCAATTTCTCTGGCTCAAACAGACTCAAATCCTTTGTTCCACACTTTCTCCAATCAAGGTCAATTACTGGGGAAGCACGACAATAGACTTGACAGAAAGAACCAACCAAGACTGGACTCTGCAAACTGCACCTCTGACACCTGGAGTTTACTCCCAGACCAATTTCTACAGAAGATTCATCAAGGATTACAGTAGAAAAGCAGCTCCACTTACCTGTTTGACCTCCACCCTTGTCCCTTTCAAGTGGTCCAATGACGCTGAAGTAGCTTTTTCCACACTCAAACAACTTTTCATAACTGCTCCGGTTTTGTCTCACCCAGATCCATCCAAACAATTCATTGTTGAAGTTGATGCCTCAGATTCTGGAGTGGGTGCTGTCCTGTCCCAGCGTTGTCCAAAGGACCAGAAAATTCACCCTTGTGCTTTCTTCTCCCGGCGACTAACACCTGCTGAAGCCAACTATGACATTGGCAACAGAGAGCTTCTTGCGGTTGTGTTGGCTCTGCAAGAATGGCGCCACTGGCTCGAAGGAGCTGAGCACCCCTTTATCGTGTGGACTGACCACAAAAATCTGTCTTACCTTCATTCAGCTAAAAGATTGAACTCCCGTCAGGCTCGATGGGCTCTGTTCCTGGGAAGATTTAATTTTGTTCTTACTTATCGTCCTGGATCCCGGAATGTTAAGCCTGATGCCCTGTCCCGTCAGTCCATTTCTGAGGAGGCTGAAACCCAACCTGCTCCTATCCTACCTCCAGCTTGCGTCACTGACAAGCCAGACTCAACAGTCAAGCCCGCTACTTCAAGCTTCCTCCTTGGAGCCGTTAGCTGGGAGATTGAGAAGGTTGTCCGGGAGGCCCAACAAACACAACCTGACCCAGGTACTGGTCCACCCAATTGTTTGTATGTGCCTGACTCTGTGCGCTCCCAAGTCCTCCAGTGGGGGCATGCCTCAAAGTTCACATGTCATCCTGGTTTTACTCGCACTTTAGCTTTCCTCAGGCAAAGATTTTGGTGGCCCTCCATGTCTCGGGACACCAGAGCCTTTGTTTCTGCTTGTCCTGTGTGCGCTCGCAGTAAATCCAGTCACCTGCCCCCTGCTGGTCTTCTCCATCCTCTGCCAATCCCCAGCCGGCCTTGGTCACATATAGCAGTGGACTTTGTTACGGGTCTCCCCACATCTGAAGGTAACACCACCATACTGACCATTGTGGATCGTTTTTCTAAAGCTGTGCATTTTGTTCCTCTCCCCAAATTACCTTCATCCTCGGAAACTGCTAAACTCTTGGTACAGCATGTGTTCCGTCTTCATGGTATTCCCACTGACATTGTGTCTGACAGAGGCCCCCAGTTCTCCTCTCAGGTTTGGAAGGCTTTTTGTCTGTCTCTGGGGACTTCTGTCAGCCTTTCCTCTGGTTATCACCCACAATCAAATGGCCAAACCGAGAGGGCTAATCAGGACCTGGAGTCTGCACTGCGCTGTGTCACGGCCCGTAATCCCACCACTTGGAGTTCTTTTTTGCCTTGGGTTGAGTATGCCCACAATTCCTTGGTGTCGTCTGCCACAGGTATGTCTCCCTTTATGGTGTCTCTGGGCTTTCAACCTCCCTTATTCCCTGCTCAGGAGACGGAAGATGCAGTCCCTTCTGTCCAGGCCCATCTGAGACGCTGCCGTGATGTTTGGAAGGCAGCCAGAACAGCACTCGAACGAGCAAGTGTCCGTAACCAGGAGAGCGCCAATCGCCGTCGCATACCATGTCCCACCTACCAACCAGGGCAAAAGGCTTGGCTTTCCTCTGGTGACTTGCCTCTTCAAGTAGAGTCTCGTAAATTGGCTCTTAAGTTTGTTGGACCATTCACCATCGACAAGATGATCAATCCATCTGTTGTGCGCCTCAGGATGCCTACGTCTATGAACATTCATCCCTCTTTTCATGTGTCCCTCTTGAAGCCTGTGGTTTCTAGTCCTCTCAGCCCTCCGGCCGACCCTCCTCCCACCCGGATTATCGACAATCATCCTGCCTTCGCGGTGCGTCGTATCCTGGATGTCCGGCGCCGTGGGAGGGGTCACCAGTATCTTGTGGACTGGGAAGGGTATGGTCCAGAGGAGCGATCTTGGGTTCCTCGGCGTTACATCCTTGATGCCTCTCTGCTCCGGGACTTCTATAGGACCTTCCCTGACAAGCCTGGTAGGACGTCCGGTGACGTCCCCTAGGAGGGGGGGTACTGTCACGCCCCTGCCTGTCCTGAGTCTTCTGGGTGTGGATGTGGGCGGAGTCTGCTGGGAGCACCTGCTCTCCATCTCCAATCAAGCCTGCTACAAAGGCCAAGCTCTCCTGCCAGACTCTGCCAGATTGTTTCGTCTCCTAGATGGTGATCTTCCAGTTGGCTCTGTTTTTTGATTTTTCCCTTGCTTTCTGAATACTTACCTGTGTTTTTTGTGCTCCTAGTTCCCTCCTTTGAAGACTCCTGCATCCCGGCTACTGGCTCCTCATCTCTCCACCGCCTGTCCACCCTGGCAAATAAATCCTTGTTTCTTTTGCACCACGTCCTTGTTTTGGAGTCTCTTTTGGGTCCACCCCAGTGGTACATAACAGTTCTCTCTCCTTGTGATCTTGACCTGATGGTCACAGGCTACTCAAAACAAACTTTCTGAATGATAAAGTTAATATGATATAAACAGACCACATTTAAGTTTACATTTGTAGAGTAGCCTATTGATGCATAATAACTTATTATTAGGATCTATTTGCTGCTTTTAAAAATGTCAAAATTATTAGGCCTATAGCCTATTTTAGTTAGCCTACAATTATACTGGGACATGAGTCATGATTATTTGGCATCCTACAATGAATAGAAGCTATCTCGAGTGGTATTCCTGTGGTGAGACAACAGATGGAAACAAACTCATATAACATCAGCATCAGTAGCATCAGCAGCAGCCATATGGTCTTAGTCCTATCTATATTACCCAAAACATTTGATGAGGAGCTGAGGTCTGAAGAAGAACCACTGTCTGAATATGAAAGAGCAGACCAACCTGACTGTGCAATCAGAGGCTGGTCCTGGTCCAGGTGAGTTCTTGGTAAACAGGAGATGAACAGAGAAGCAGCAGCAGTCAGGACTCAGAATCACTACTCAAGGCCTGCTTTATCACACCACAGTTTATACTTTAAACCTATAAAAATAAACAACACAAAAGTTGAAATTAAATCAGATTTTTAAAAAAATCATACGCATGGGAAAAATGAATATAAAATGTTGGTTTGCCCAAATTCAAGTCAAAACCATGTGTAGGTGGTAATCGATGAAGCAGGTTTGTTACAGTAATATAAGTCAGCTTTCACAATAAAACTACCTCACTGGCCCACTAAGCTTCAGATAACTCATGATTTGTGATGCCTCTCATACCTCTGCCTTCTAAATACTCCTCAGTTTAATCACCATTGTGCAACATCAGATGTTCTTTAGGTGGCGAGTGTAGACCGGTCTGGACCAGTGTGGACAGGCACCAGCATACACAGGTAGGTAGAAGTCTAAAAATGCTGAATTATTATATTGTGAATGAACTGCTGATTGTGCCTCTCACATGCCCATTCTGATGATTTTTGTTTATTTAGTTTGCATCTTAATTGCATACATGCATTGATTCTACGGTTGATTGTATATTGAATGTCTTCCAGCTGAAAGGTTGTGCAGCTCAGCTCATTGATAAAACCATGATCTGCAGGAGGTTTCAGTTTGTCCTGTGTCAGAGAAAAGCCTGAGTGGGTCATTCAATTACACAAACTTCTTCAGGCTGCTCCAGTGTTTTGCATCAAGTCAAATGAATAGATCTCTTAATCCGATTAAATCCTTGGCCTGGCCAGCATCATGACATACAGCCTATAAATTATAGAGACAACCATAGACTATATGGAGTAGTGTCTTAATCTGCACTACTTTCTCAAAAAACAAAGATTTATTTATTTACCATAAATTTGTTTATGTCATATCTAAACACTGTAATAGTACACAGTGTCACTGCATATATCTTTTTATGTTAAATTCCTTCTTTGTTACATGTGTTATTGGCCTATATGAAATCAGTATGGAGTAAAATGGCAGCTCCTTCATTACAGAGTGCTACATCCAAAAAGTACACGGTTCAGGGCATCAGATTTGATTGGACAGAGAGAGAAAGAGTGAGAGTGCTGAAAGCAGTCAGCTTTAAGCCCTGAGAGCCCATGTGGAGATAGGCTCCACCTGTCTGCTGCCTCTGTTTGTGTGGGTGATGGTCCAGTGCCCAGATAAGAGTTTCTCCCTTCCATCATAACTGAGCTATGAACATACAAAGGGAAACAGAAAATACACATTCACATTTCATGCATTTTTGTCTTTTATTTCTTCATTTGATTTATTTTTTAGCAGAGAGGTATGCTGATGTTTGTGAGTAACAAATGTAGGCTTATTGCTTTGGCAAATCTAAAAAAAAAAAAAAAAAAAAAAAAAGTCTAGGCTACAAACTGACACTGAAACATATAATGTACAAAACTTTTCTCAGTTCCTTCTGTTTTTCTAGTTTGCAGACAGTATTCTTTGTCTCTGGGTTTGAAATGCCACTGCTGAGGGCCACATTCAGAAACACAGATCTGGTTGTTGTAAGCTATTTACAGCGGCTCACCCACCTAAACCACATTTTACTCACATTTACAGAGACACATAACACGTATACTTACAATGTTTCCCCTCGAGTTTCTCTCTATTTCTCACATGTTCTGAGAAGGAGACAGGAAGTGCAATAGGAAGTCGGATGCAACCCACAGTCTTTAGTGAGTCTTTCTCAGTATGGCTTGAAGGATAGACTCGCTAGTTCCATCTCTGTTGTCAATAAGATTTTTTTGTCTGTAGAAGAGCGAAGACCACAAGTCCCAAGTCAGAGCTGGATATGTTCACAGACAGATTGGGGTTTCACAGTATGTTGCAACAATGGCGTGCATATCTCTGACTAAACTTGGCTTCCTCGTGATCCTCGGCTTCATTATCAGCCTCCCAGAGTTCTTCACTATCGACAGAGGTGGGTCCTTCAAGTGATTTTTAATGTAGTTCTAATGGCTCAAGCTATTGCTATGTCCTTGGGATGTGTTTAAGGGCCCATATTTACACTATTTTCTGATATACTGTATGTTGTAATGTTAGTTCCTCATCAAAAACATATTCTGAGTTGTGTTTTGTTTCATTCACACATGTTTAACACACAAATCCTGCATATGTAGGCTGATTTCTTCTCTCAAACAGAACCCTTTGCTGAACTTTGTGATGTCATGTGGTACTACAGGAATATGGAGGAAGTGCTCCACTGTGTTTTTACAGTGGAGCACTTCCTCCATACAATTATTTGGATAATTTCGGACCTGGAACTGCCAATCTCTACTGAAGTAAAGGCAGGCCTGTTGACAGAAATTTAGGGGTCTGGGGCAGGAAGACTCATATGGGCCCCCTCTAATATAAGCTAAAAAGAAAAGAGTCCAATTCTGGGCCCGTAAAACCCTGCGGCCTTGGACAACAGACCTGTCTACTGCCCTGATTAAGAATAAAATCACAACGTGGAGTGTTTTCAGTTTGAGATTCAGTCTAAATATGCAGGGTGTGTGTGTTAAACATGTATAAATTAAACAAAACAACTCCAGATATGTTTTGGTGAAGAAATATTATATCTCAGCTCAGAAAATGTTGTAATATGAGCGCTTTAAAAATATTAAGTTTACATGAATTTTAATAAAATCTAAATAGTGAAACTATATATAACTGTTTACTATGTTGCCCACCCCTAGTCTTTACTCCCTTTGTCTTCACACATAACCACACCTCAGCAACTTGTGAATGCATTTGAGCTGTGTGGCCCTGTGTTTCAGTGCGGAGCGTGTCCCTGCTGTGTGGAGATGAGGACAGCAGGGGGCAGACTGGAGGCCAGTGGAGGAGCAGCACATGCGATGAACAGTGGGAGCCAATGAGAGCAGCAGCTGATCAGAGGAACGTTACGCAGGCCCACAAAAGCTGCTTTGTGTGTCAGGCAGATGTCAGCAGGGTTTGGTTTGATCACAACAGCTCGTCCCCAGGTATCAGAGCTTTTAACTGGGCTGAGAGCAAACTGTAAACAAACTCACAGGGCAAAACATACAAAACTACTAATGTGTATTATTCAAGACAGAAATGATAGTGACTAGTAGGCTCACTGGTTTCCTTATTAAAAGTCATATATTACACAAAATTGACTCTTGTGGACAAGTTGTGATTCTCAAAAAACATACCTGGAGTTGTGTTTTGTTTCATTCACACATGTTTGAGTAACCCGGCATTATTAGTCTGTCTGTATCTCCCAAGCTCAAAATGCTCTGTTCCATCTTGTGTTGTCATGTAGTGGTTATTGTCAAGTTAACAGCTACTTTATGTTCGGTAGAGATTGGCAATTCCAGCACTGACATTCTCCAAATGATTGATGATGGATTAAAAATTAAAAAAAAAAGACAGCGGGGAACGTCTTCTTGTATTACCACATGACATCACAAGGTGGAACGGTGTTTTCTGTTTGAGAGACAAACCCTTTAAAGATGGTTTATGTCAGTGTTTCCCAAACTTTTTTTCTGGGGACCCATATTTTAAAAGTCACAAACCTCCGCGATCCAAGTCAATAGACATTATTTGTAAATCACAAAATAAAAGTTGATTTGACGATTATTAACTTTAGTGACGATATTTTATTGTTGACTGAGTGATCGTGTCTCTCTGAACAATCAGTATTATTCAAGTTTTAAACAACGAAAAACATAAAAGCAATAAAAGGGATCCATAAGTCATCTATTTGGACAATAAATGTGCCCATTTCGTTTTCTTTCAACATTCATTTGAACCAGCAGTATTGGAACAAAATAGTCAGTATAATAATTAAATAAGATTAGAAATTATACAACACATGTCTAACATTTCAACCTACATGCAGATCATGACAAGATACCCAATAAAAAAATCTCTTGAGACCCAGTCTTTGGGAAACAATGGTCTAACTACTCTGGTGGAGGGGTGCACCAGCTTGCCTCCATGGTGCTGTTGTTATTTTGCCTGGACTTTATTGTTATTTATTCATTCATTCTTATGGGTTTGCCTCTACAGATCTGACTTAACTTAATGCCATACTGTGGAACATTTTAGGCAACGCAATAACATCTGCGTGGACAGTTTATTACCTACTACATACCCTTGACTCATTATACTTGATAATGTAATGTCTTAAAGCTTAGAAACACCGCTTTGTCCAATATTAAACCTTTAATATCTTCCACAGCTGATGGCGTCTCCTTCGAAGTGTCTTTCAACTTACAATGGAACAACACAGCCACAGAATATATCACCTTGGTTGGCCGCTACAACCACAGCTCTCAATACTTTCATCTTTATAACGAGGAGGAAAAGGAGAAAAACTATGAATACAGTGGTGGTTTCTTGTACTGCCCTGGATTAGCCAACACAGACTCAGCCAACCACAGCTGCTGCCTCCTCTGTCTCTCTCTTCAGATAACTGCGAGGGAAGGGCTGCCATGGAAACGTAGTACTAAAGGTTGGTGTCAAGAATACGGTATGTAGTATTACTTAAGCTTAGGAAGGGCTGAGTGAAGGCATCAGCTTTGTTTACAGGTCATACATGACACAAAATTGACTCTTGTGCACTTTAACCCATGTTATAATGTCGTTACCTCCTCAAAAACATATCTGTAGTTGTGTTTTGAGAGAAGAACTCAGCCTAAATATGCAGGATTTGTGTGTTAAATGTGTGAATGAAACAAAACACAACTCCAGGTATGTTTTTGATGAAGAAACAACATTATAACAAATCAGAAAATAGCAAAATATGGGACCTTTACACACAATAAACATCAAAAACATAGTTGTGTTTTGTTTCATTCACACATGTTAGAGTGTTTTATTAGTCTATCTACATCTTCAAAGCTCATAATGCTCTGTTCCAACCTGTGATGTGTTGAAGCGGTAGTTACCTTTTACCTTTAGTTCAGTAGAGATTGGAAATTTCAGAGCTGGAATTATCCAAATGATTCTAGTGAAGGTGTACGGAGTATAAAACACAGTGGAGCTCAGCCTAAATATACCGGATTTATGTTTTAAAATGGTATGAATGAAACAAAACACCACTTAGGTGTGTTTTTTAATGAGGAAACACTATACCATGGATCAGAAAATAGCATAATATAGGACCTTTAATGGCAGATTGTTTTGTGAGGCTATATATTTTGTCACTACCACTAAATTAACACCAGCTTATTGTAGATTTTAATTGACTGCGTAGCTTTAGTTGTATTGATTTTGGCCAACGTTTTATTCCTATTCACACACCCCTGGAGCCTTCAGCCAATTTTCCAGTGTTACACTCAAAGCTGGAAATCCATCTCACTTAAAAGTTTCCATTACCCACTTCACAGCCCTCTTCAGCTATTTGTCAATGCTCTCTCTATTTCCAGATTTGCCACTGTTTGTATGGATGTGTTTGGAGGGTTTTCATATGTGTTGTTGATGTAATATTGAGCGGTTTCCTCTGGAAGAAAAGAAAAGGCATGTTTATTTATTTTTTCAAAACAGATTCCTCGCTGCGTGTTCTGAGAGTTGTGGAAGTGGGCTCATTTTCCATTACACGGACCAAGTGCGTTAACTTCAATATTTAGATGAGAAAAAACGAAAAAAGTTTCAGTTTTACCCCACATTTCCACACTTGATTTAACAGCATGTGTTAGAGTGAGCTGGTGACGTTAAATTGGCATAAGTTAATTCAAAATTGATCTCTCTGTGCTGCAACTTTAAAGGGCCCGTTTTACATAATTAAATAAAAATCTCTAGTGAGCTGTATTAAGCCACGTTATAATGCGGTTACCTCCTCAAAGACATATCTGTAGTTCTGCTTTGAGAGAAAAACTCAGCCTAAATATGCAGGATTTGTGTGTTAAACATGTGTGAATGAAACAAAACACAACTCCAGGTATGTTTTTGATGACGAACCAACATTAAAACACATCAGAAAATAGTGTAATATGGGCCCTTTACGCACTATATGTATGTTTTTTTCTAACGTCACCTGCTTTTCTTCATGGAGAGGTTAATCTTTTTTGCTCACATCTTCATGAAGAGAAGCAGCTGAAGGGGTAGAGTTAGGACCACCAAGAATGCATGTTTTTTATGATAAAGAAATGTTTTGCAGTGCACCTTTAATGAGTAAAACTGATTAGGCTCCAACCAACTGTGACTCCTAAACGAATGCATTTTAAAACAACTTTTTATGTATGTGTATAATTTTGTTTGTTATTCTTCAGATGAGTGGGGGTCTGTGCTTCAGGGGGTCTGGTTATCACTGCTGTGTGTGGTGCTTCTGCTCATCGTCACCACAGTCAGTCAACAAATCATTAAAAGAAGGAGACGCCCCTCTGGTAAAACAATGTACAAATTGATGAAAAAAAATATATAATGCAACATAACAAGTCTAAAATGTTTTATTTTTTAGAGAACGCAAAGATCTACCGTTTTAATTACACTGTTAAAGGGCATCAATTAAAGGGTATGTTCAATTAACCTTATTTTTACTTTGAAACATAATGAAAAACCACTGATGAATGACAACAAAGCAATAACTATTTCTCTTAAAATTCAGCTCAGTTTTATAACGCAATGTTGTGTGAAAAATTGATAAGCAGAGTCCAGTTCAAAATACTGAGTGATGAATTTGTATTGCAGACGAAAAGCCCCAAGAAGTCAACACTGCCAGAGGTATGTTTTTACACAGTGGAGCTTCATCCAAATGATACTTTGCAGTGACATTACGCTGGGGGTGTGTGTGGCAGAATTTTCACACATTGGCAAACACAGCCAATTTTTTAATCAAAATACAAAATGGATTTATCGACACATTTCAGGAGCATGTGATCAAATTGAGTGTTCATGGTTCGGTTTAGGAGTTTGATTTTCAACAAAAAAGGTCAAAAATTGTTGGTTCATGCTTGCCAGCTTGTGATTGTAATGCTATTTCAGAAGGATTTCAACAGCACAACAGCAAAAATCATCTCATCTCTAGTTTCAGCTAAGTCATTTCTTTATGGTGGTCAGATTGTGTTGAAATAAAGCTTAAATTAAAGTCTAACAAAGCCTCAGGCGGACATGCCTACGGTTAGCATCCCACCCCCAGTGAATGTTGATGACAAAGTATAAGTAGCTTATTCAGTTTGTTCAGTAAACAAGCTTCAATGATGTGTCCTGCAGCTTTGAAACTTGGCAGAATTTCAGAGTATTCCTGGTCAGGTAAGTTTTATTTGACAAAAATCTGAATAATAGTTGCTACCCCTGGAGAAAACATGACTTGAAATGCTTTACGTGCTTATTGCAGCATTGTCTTCTATTGCGGAAGAGGATTCACAAGGTAGGCAACCAACTCTATGAATGCATACCTACTATTGCAAGAGAAATGCTACATTTTCAGTTTGTGTGTATGTGTTTGGGTTTTTTTCCCAGATGAAACCGATGCACCTTTAAATGACTATAGAGATGAAAGTTCTAATGGTAACTGCATTTTTTTCTATTAAAGGGCCCATGTTACACCATTTTTGATTTATGTTATCATATAGAGCATTATAATTGTGTTTCCTTGTTACAAACATGCCTGGAGTTGTGTTTTGTTTCATTCACACAAGTTAAACACACAAACCCTGCACTCCACCTTGTGATGTTATGTGGTAAGGTTTTGTAATTTATATAGCGCTTTTCACAGACATTTTTCACAGAGATGCTCAGGAAGTAATACAGAAAGTGCTCCACATTATTACTAAAACATGTGTGAATGAAACAAAACACAACTCCAGGTATGTTTCTCATGAGGTAAAATGAGTAATATAGGACCTAAATAATCAAAATAACAATCTAATACATAGCAGTTGTACAAGTTATACTATATTGTACTATATATATTGTTAGATAATGCTATTAGGTGCCAGTATTGTATGCAAAAAGGGTCATAAAAGATGCACAGTTTTTTATTCATAACGTGGCTGAGTTCCTATTATACTCTGCAAGTTATTCTTATTCATCACATTTCCATTTACTCAAATATATTTGTATAAGGTCACTAAAACTTGACATAAAGTTATTAACAACAGGGTCTCAATAGTTCCACAAATGCACTAAAACAGTTGAATTCTCTGTAATAGTTTTATTTGTTAATCTCTTCACTAAATGAATCTGCTGCATTTAAATATGAACTAAATATTCTCTGTTTCATTCTGTCTTTCCAGAAAACACTCATCATTCTAACTCATCCTCCATCAGAAGAACAGACCACACTGCGACCATCGATAAACCTTCATAAGGAAATAAGAAGTGTCCTTTTATACTGTAAATAAAACCACCTTAAGTTAAACATATATGTGTGTATATTTTTAAATAGCTCAATCTTCAGGCATCACATTTAAGGACAGAATAATTTCATGCAGTACACGCCCAAAGTCAAATGAATAAATTAGCTGAAAATGTCAAGCCTTCTCTTCAAGTAAGTTAATTATATTCTGGTGATGAAAGCGCTGGTCCCAAAAGAAACGCCAAAACATTAAGATACAATATGCAGTCTTATATTTTATTCACGTAAAAGCTTTCCTGAACACTGTTGATCAATACAGTAAACGTTACTCTTTAAAGGTTTAATTTAATTAAAGAGAGTGGGCTTAAGGGACCCTTCATGAATGAAAATTGATCAAGGCAAGTAACGTAAGCAATAGCAAATAAATCTATATGTTTATAATGCAGTATTAAAGCAACAGTGGATTAGAAAAATTAAATAAAAATTCTGAAGTTGGCATAATTTGGTCCTCTCAAAAAGTTGACATTTACAGTATGTAGCAGCATAACATTTCATAAAACCACTGTATATGAAATTAATAAAAAAAAAAAATCCTGAATCCTAAATCGAAATGTACACAATGATTAAGTGTTGTCTAAATTAGTCATAATAAATATTTCTAGTCGGTAATGCTGGTTCATTTCAAACCAGATCCAATAAATTCTTTGATGTGCAACAAAACTTTCCCATAGAAATACCAATGCATCAAATGGAGTGCAAGAAATCTACGACTACATCTATGAGCTTAAAAAACAATTTATACATTTCTGGAAATGCTTGCCTAAAGGTCCTACACTACACAAAATTTTGTGAACTTTTAGCCATGTTATAATGTTGTTAGCTCCTCAAAAACATACCCAGAGTTGTGTTTTGTTTCATTCATACATGTTTGCGCAATCATGGTTTATTAATCTGTGTACATCTCCAAAGCTCAAAATGCTCTGTTGTACCTTGTGATGTGATGTAATGGTAGTTCATAAATTAACAGCTTCTTTTACCTTTAGTTCAATAGAGATGTGCAATTACAGAGCTGAAATGATACAAAATGATTCTAGTGAAGGTGTATGGAGTTTAAAAACACACAAGAGCACTTTCTGTATTATCGCATGTCATCACAAGGTGGATCAGAGTGTTTTCTGTCTGAGAGAAGAACTCTAAAGAAGCTTAGAGAAGCCTAAATATGCAGGACTGGTGTGTCAAACATGTGCAAATGAAATACAACACAACTCCAGTTATGTTTGTGACGAGGAAACATCATAACATAAGTCAAAAATAGTGAAATACAACACAACTCCAGTTATGTTTGTGACGAGGAAACATCATAACATAAGTCAAAAATAGTGAAATACAACACAACTCCAGTTATGTTTGTGACGAGGAAACATCATAACATAAGTCAAAAATAGTGCAATATAGGACCTTTAAGATGTTCTATACAACTAAAGCATATCTGAAAAAGTGTGTTTACAATTAATCATCATATATTAGTAACTTAAGAAGCTTGCGACGGGGCTTGTGTGTTAGTGTGTTGTACCCTCTCCTTGTGTTGTATTGTGACACTGCTGGCTCTGGATATGGGAGATCTGCAGAACTGGGAGCAAGAGCTGAAATGCGTTTTGAATGTAGTTTGTGCTGTTGGAGCCCTGCATAAAGAAGAAAAGGAGAATATTACAGTTTTTATTATGTTAAGGCATTTGGCATTCAGTGATCAGCTCAATAGTCAAATATCATGTAACACAATACAGCATGAATATAGTGTTTTTACCTCTTGCAGCACACTGTCTACCAATGGATTCAGCTCCTCGGCCTTCTTTGGACTCTGAAAAGGATTAATTTAGGTCAATATGAGAAGAACTCATGAATCAAAAACATAACATCAGCGAGTTAAGAGAATTATTTTCAATATTACCAATATGTAATTATTGTGTTTTGTTTCATTCACACGTTTAACACAAAAATCCTGCACATTAAGCTGTGTTCTTCTCTTGAACGAAAAACACTCCACACTTGTGATATAATGCGGTAATAAAGTGAGTGTCCCACTGTATTTTTAAAGTCCATACATCTTCACTAGAATAATTTTAGGTAAAAGACAGCTGTTAACTTGAAAACTACCGCTTCATGAAGTGTTTTCTGAAGAAGAGCTTTGGAGATGTAAACAGACTGATAATAAAGGATTACTCCGGCATGTGTGAATGAAACAAAACACAACTCCAGGTGTTTTTTTTAATTAAATAACATGGCTCCAAAGCTCTCAAGAGTCAATTTTGCATAATATAGTACCTTTAATAAGTACAAAAGAGAAGCTTGTGATTGTACAAGGTTTGCAGAACTGCTCTTGTTGCACAGTGGGCAGTATTTTTCCACCTGTCTCTGGGGGGCACACATCAAGACACAAGAGCACTGCTGCGCTCAATCTCTTTATCCCTGTTGTATCAAAGTCTTGATCTCAGGGAATGAAAACCGCTTCAATGCTACATGCTACTTCAGCAGCCTCTCACTCAACCAAGCAACCTTTTTAGATCTACTTTATGTTTCAGTCATTTCTTCTCTATAAATATCCAAATAGTAAAATATATGTAATAAACATTATCTCAACATCAAAATAGCAGAATAACATACCCCAACATAAAGCAGCGTGTCAGAGAATTTCTTGGCCAAAGTCTCTACTTCTTTACACATAGCACATGTTAACCTGAAACAAAGGAAGACAATTAGCAAACCATCACAACTATAATCTCAGCAAATGCCTTTACAGACCTGGTAAGGACCTGGGCCTGGTCTCTGGCAGCCTTCTCCTGCTCCTGACCGTGGAGGATGAGCTCTGCCACCTTGTGGAGCTGCTCAATACTGCGTGCGGTCACTTCAGCCAAACTTCCAACTGAGGACAGGTAGACAGCCTGCAGAGAAGTACCATAGAAGAAATTGGATCACATGAAACCGCTGTTCACATCTAACCTGAGATGGGATTTAAAATACATTGTACTTCACCTCACCTCTACAGATCTAGAGTCCTTTTCTTTGGTTTCTTCATTTGTCTCTTCACTTTTATCTTGTCCATTCTCTCCACTCTTGTTTTCTTCACCCAATGCCTCTCTATTCATTGGGTCCTCTGTTTCCCTGCCAACAGTATCCGCAGTGACGGGCCGTTCCACCTCACTTACCCAATCATGGGCTCTCCTACGAGCCTGTAGACGCATAATTAGCAGCCATCAGCTCTGCAGGACAAGCCTGAAGTATGCTAATCACATGCATATACATCATGGTAATGACTCTCTGTATGAAAGGAATTATTATTCAACTCGACTTCAAAGGGAAAAACTTCCAAATACATTTAAAGCCTAACTCCAAACTCTGAGTTAGTGAGCCCGGCCTGAATTATGCAAGTATATTATACGAAGCATATTCTTGTATTGAATTTGGGGCTTTGTTCTAAAAGCCAGGCTAATTTTGTGGTCAAGGGCATTTAGTTTCTGAAGTGAAAGTACAGAGCATTTCAGGATATAATTATCAACTGAATCCTGCTGTGTTTATTGGGGGAACATTTAGATTGATTTTAGATTTTATTCAAATCGCAGAATAAAGCCAGTCCTTAAAAGGTCCTATATTATACTAAATTCTTGTGAGCTTCAAGTCATGTTATCATGTTACCTCATGGAAAACATACCCACAGTTGTGTTTTGTTTCATTCACACATGTTTGAGTAATCCTGCATTATTAGTCTGTCTATATCTCCAAAACTCAAAATGCTCTATTCCACCTTGTGAAGTCATATAGTGGTAGATTTCCACATAGTTTAACAGCTACCTTTTACCTTTAGTTCAGTATAAATTGGCAATTCCAGGGCTGAAATGATCTAAATAATTCTAGTGAAAGTGTATGGATTTTTAAAACACAGTACTTCCTGTATTACCACATGGCATCACAAGGTGGACCAGAGTGTTTTTCAGTTTGACAGAAACCTAAATATTCAGGGTCTGTGTGTTAAACATGTGTCAATAAAGCAACACAACTCCAGGTATATTTTTGATGAAACAACTTCATAACATAGATTAGAAAATAGAGTAATATGAGCCCTACACTGCTGGCCAGGTGTTAAAATCTCAACTCCATTAGATTAAGATATGGCAATGTAACCTTGCATCTATACACCAAATGCTCAGAGCTATTAAAAGTAGATGTGTTGCTAATTGCTATGATTAAGTGTATTAATGCTGTGTGAGTCACCTTGTTGAGCTTGTCGGGAGTGGCTGCAACGTGAAGTTCAAACAACAGCTCGGTAAGAACACTCAGGAACTCTTCGCTATCGGAGGCTGTTGAATAAAAACAAATGTGATTAAAATTTTTTCACTATCAAACATAAGCAAAACATAATCTGTAAATTGAAAGGCCCATATTATGCTATTTTCTGATCTATGTTGCAATATTTCCTCATCAAAGACATGCCTGGAGTTGCTTTGTTTCATTCACACATGTTTAACACACAAACCCTGCATATTTAGACTGAGTTCTTCTCCAAAACAGAAAACACCGTGTTCCACCTTGTGATATTAAACTCCATACACCTTCAATAGAATCATTTGGGTGACTTCAGCCCAGGAATTGCCCGTCTTTGCTGAACAAAAAATAAAAGGTAGCTATAAACTGGAAAACTACTGCTTCATGACATTACAAGGTGGAACAGAGCATTTTGAGCTTTGAAAATGCAGACAGGCTAATAATAAAGAGTCTCTCAAACATGTGTGAATGAAACAAAATACAACTCCAGATATGTTTTTGATGAGATAACAATATTCTAACATGGTTTAAAGCTCACAAGAGTCAATTTTGTGTAATATCGGACCTTTAAAATTATTAATTGCATGCTATTAAAGGATGGAATTGTTGTCATGCCCATTCATTGTAGATTATAACATGATTGCACATGCAGAGGTCTCTGTAACGTGACTGTGGTGCAATGTGTGAGTGACACCAGCAGCACCGACCCAGGATCAAGCTCCAAAAGCCTCCTACTGAGAGACAGATCGGTGTGCTCAGATCTCAGCAGGCTGTGGCTTCGCCTAAAGGCTCTTGTCGTACAGAATCGCTTTATGTTTTAAAATGTTTAACCGCTGAATGTGAGGTGATGTGTGCTGCCTGGTGGAACAAAGAGCACTTAAAATGACATGGTTAAGACTTCTAAACCAAATAAAGGTGCATTGTGCAGCTTTTTTGGTGTGGGGTCTGCTACTTAGTTGTGTCCATGGAGATTTTATTGTTACTGCTTTGCCTGGAATGTTCCATGGTATGACATTAAAACATACACATCTAGCATTTATTCATGATGGGCATTTCTGTTGCTCAAAAATTCAATAATTCCCTCTGTGAAACAGGGACGACTCTCCACAGAACTGAATTGTATTGTAAAAGCAACAACATTTCCAAGGCGACAAGCCACTAGAAATGTGTTTTCAGGGTTATTGCATGTTATTATTTTCATGTTATTGCTTTGCCTGGGAAGTTCCATAGTATTGTATTAAAGCGCCCATACAATGCTATTTTCTGATCTATGTTATAGTGTTATTTTCTCATCAAAAACATACCCAGAGTTGCGCACATGTCCAGGTATGAGTACAAGCACATACTGTTAGTCCTGTGTTCAGGTTTCTGCACTGGCTTCCTATGGCTCAAAGAATAGACTTTAAAGCGACTCTGCTTGTGTACAAGTCTCTTCATGACCTAGCACCAAAGTACATCTGTGACATGTTGTGCCATATGAACCATCTCGCACTCTGAGGAGGTCAGGGATCGGCCTCCTGCTGGTGCCCAGAGTCAGGACTAAAAACGGGGAGTCGGTGTTTTAGATTCATTCAGCTAAAATCTGGAACAGTCTTCCTGAACATGTGAGACAGGCTTCTACTTTGACTCCAAATCCAGGCTCAAAATGGTTCTGTTTAGCTGTGTATATGACAGAAAGTTTTCATTCAGCACTCTTGTCTCTCATTTAATGTCTCTCTCTTTTTAATTTTATAATGATTATTTATGTTCTGATTTGTTGTTGTTGTGATAACATGTCTTAAATGTTAGACAAGTCATTTTTTGCATAATATAGAAGCTTTAAACTCCTATACATAACACAAATCACATAAGTAATGCATGTTTTCCAAGCTATTTCTTTACAAAAGCATCTGAAAATGAATAAATGAATAAAAGATGAATACGTTTAACACTGTAAAGTGGTACATTCTAGGCAAAGCAATGATGTCTTCCTGGTGACAAACCAGTGGTGGACCCTCCATCAGAAAAGTTATAGTGCACCTTTAATGTTACTGTTGTGTGCCCAAGTTAATTGAAAACACACTATAAAGTATCCAGTGTTGTGTAATCACTGTACAGGTAAGAGCAGCACCACAAACCCACGGCTTTGGTATCAGTACGATTGGTCCTGGGTAAGTGTTTTGTGGTCACCTCTACCTCCATCTTGTTGACTCACAGAGGGGAGTAGAACAGTGAAAATGGGAACTTAGATCACCATTATCCTTGGCCTCAGGTCCCTCTCCTTCTTGAGCTTTGGTTTCCTCCTTTGCCTCCTCATCCTCTTGCCTGATGAAGATGTCTTTTATAAAAATCAATTCAGTTTTAACCTCCTCCTGCTCTGTTTCAGTCAGAGAAGACAAAAAGGCTTGAACCTGATAAAACACACACAAAAAAAATAATTACAGTAAGAAAAGCTATTTAAATCAGTTAATAGTGTCTATTGATACATGCTGGGGGTGTTCAACCTCTATATCAGCAGTTACCATGATGACATAATGCACACATTAGAAATAACTACCAAAAAAGTGTTGTTTGAAAACCCAAGAAAATATACAAAACTGATTTAAACAACACATTTCCAGAAGTGTTTGATTTTCAACAAAAAGGTGAAAGTGACTGTAATTGTATGTGTGAGAGACTTGTTTAACAGAAAAAATCAGCTCAAATGTTGTAGTCCCAGCTAAATCAGTTCTTTATGGGTGTGTGTGTGTTGGTGATTGTGTTAAAAGAAAACTCAGATTAAAGTCTAACTTGAGTGACAGAGCTTCAGACAGAGCAGTGCCTACAGTTAGCAGGGAATGTTGATGACCTCAGCTGCAGTGTATACATTTTTCAGTTGCTTGTTTACACTAAAAAAAGAAAAGGTAACTCACTTTGGCTTCGCTCTCGTTGGACAAGATCTCAAGGGCCTCAAGATGCGATAAGCCCTGGTAATCGTCGAATAAAATGCCATAGTGGGCAGAGGGAGCGCTGACTGGATGGTTGCAGAGTCGGGCACGTTCTTTCTCTTTGGCTTCCTTTAAAATCTGAGGAAATGTACAACAACTTCATTATGACATCAGAGATATTAGACAAAGAGGCACTGAATAATGGAGCTCAACATTTACCACCAGCTCTAGTTCTGGAGGTAAATTTGCCATGCATTTTTCCCATAGACTTTTCAAAAGAGTTTAAGGAGATCGTGAAGTTTAAGCAACTACATACAAACTAATATCCAAAATGCAGATGTTTTAAAAGTGCACTATGTAACTTTTTCATTTTCATTCACCTGCTTGTTTCTATTGATTTATGTCATTGCTCTGCCTCGAATGTTCCACAGTATGACATTAAACAGCTCTACCTTACCATTTATTCAATTATAGGTGGCTTTATAGCCCAAAAATACCAAAAAATATAGGCATTCTGACTGTAAGCGAGATCGCCTCTCCATAGATCTGTTCTGTAACTTGGTCTGGTTTGGTCTCCATGAAAATAGAAAGGTTTAATACCATACTATGAAACATTCCAGACAAAGCATGGAGAAAAGCATTTCACGGACCCTCCACCAGACAGAAGTTACACAATGCATCTGTAAGTCCAAAAAAGCAGTTTAAAATGCAAAATTATGCGAAAGGTTTTAATAACTTTGTGAATTATAATGTGTCAGAAACAGAACTTTTAATAGACTTTTTTTTTTGGAAAGGCTATGAGAAAAATTAATGGGAAATGTTGTTCCTGACCCAGGGGGGTGTGCGGTCACTGCTGAGCTCAATTGATGTGCATTATTTATACAAACAAAGGAAAATTATGTGGCCTGCCTGACTCAGGGATGCAGTTTTTTCCATCAGTATTTTCGTCTTTTTGAATCCAGGGTCGCTCTCGGCAAGAACAGTCATAGTCTTCTTCCCAATGAACTCCAGTGCGTCCAAACCTCCACTGATCACTGATTTTCCCTGGTAAAATACAAACACCAGAAATATTAAGTGCTTGTCCTAAATACATGAGTGAAGAACAGTTATGGAAATATTTAAGCATTTATTTTTATTTACTGTGATGATGACTGAAGAATGCACATACAAAATTATGATCACATATGCCATACAAAACGTACAAAATGAACTATTGATACTTCGCGGTGACATCGTGCTGGGGGTGTTCTACATGTACCTCTACGGTGGAATATTTAGGTGTAACCATAGTAGCACAAGGCACATGTTAGCAAACACTGTCAAAAAAGTTTCAATATTATCTGAAAACTCAAGAAAAAACACATAATGGATTTAAACACACACATTTTCAGGCGCTTGTGATCGATACGAGCGTTCATGATCCTGTTTAGGTTTTTTTTGGTTTTCAACAAAAAAAGGTAAGTGTGAATAATTGAAACTGTCGGCTAATGCTCACTAGCTTATGTGGGGTCAGCCCTTTGTTGCCACAGCTCTATGTTCCCTCATTTCTAAGATTTTTCTCAAAATGAAACTCTAATTGAAGTAATTTTTATTTTTATACCGCATTAAAGGGATGATTCAGAGTCATTTCAACCTAGTATCCTTTGTACCATGACCTCTACATTACATCGGTAGTCAACTGCTGCTGGATAATAGGTTGGGTGTAAGTGACTACCAAATTACAAGAAATTTGGATAAAATTTGAAGAAAAATTGATAAAGGAAATGTGAGAACATAGAGCGATAATTATGAAAAAAACAAACAAAAAAAAACCGTAGAAATGAGAGAACATAGGGCTGTGAGAACAAGCGCACTCCCGCTTGTGTCTGTAATTTTATGTTTGAGATACTTGTTTACGAGCACAAATTATCTCACCTATTGTAGTCATAGCTAAATCAGTTCTTTATGGTCAGATTGTGTTCAAATAACGCTCAGATTACAGGGTAATAAAGTCTCAGACAGAGCAGTTCCTACAGTTAGCATCACAGCCACAGGGAATGTTGATGCCATCAGCTGCAAACTATCAATACAGTAAGCAGGGTCTGTTGAAAGAAGCTCTGCGCAGGTACATGGAATCAGGATATCACAACACAATACAAATAGCTGCACTTCTGCTTTTGTGCTGTCAAGGCCGTGTTCTTACTGCGTGTGTGATTGATGAAAAGACTCCTCTGTTAGAAGTGGGCGACTCCACAGAGTGAAAGCTCTCTGCACCATCGGCTCCTCCCTCTGCGCCCCCATCCTCCTGAGCTTCCTCTCCCACCGAAGTCCTGTGGAGACGCAGTGCCTCTCCTGCCTTCACCTTCACTGAGCTCAGGCTTTGACCTGCACACATTAAAGAAGGGAGTCACGTACAAAACTGTAGATGAGACCAAAGGCTAAAAGGGCAGATGAAAAGAAGA